CCCTTTTAGCTAAAATATCATGATTATAATAAGCTACCTTCTTCTTATTTAATAGTTGTTTTAATTTCTTTGATACCCATGGCTTGTTGTTGGGAAATATTTTATATGTTTTTGTTGGTATAACTGACTCCACACAAAAATTGATATAATCTGAAACCACAATTGTATGAGTATCCAGATCTAGACAGTCAAAAGTTTCCCACAAAGTACACTCAAAACAACCCTGAAGGCACATAATACTCTCTTCATTCCAAATCTTAACAGTCTTTACCTGAGGTTTCTCCCTTTCAAGAAGTCTTTGATATTTAGGTCGAAGATTAACAACGTTATGATCAGTGGTGGCAACGTGGAGGCGGAAAAAGCATCTTTAACGTTGCCATAACACTTGTCCAGTATCTTATTTTTCCTAGTGCAAACGTCCACATACTGTTAATAAGTCCTCAAACAGTTTTTTAAAGAACAGTTATTAAAATCTCCTAAAATAAATTTCGCCGCATCAGGAGACATAGAATCCAGTCTTTGTGCAAGTTGATATAACACATCCGAGACTTTAGCTGAATTTGCCTGAGGATGTATATAAACCACAGTAAAAAACAACTGTGGAAACTCCTGAGGAAGGTAGTACCAGCAGTAATACATAACTCTTGATTTGTGATTGACCGACTTATCAGATGTTCAACATATTATTACAAGTCCCTGCTTACCTAGTTTATGATTAAAACATTTTTTTTACAATCACCCTGGAGAAATTCAACAGCAGTAAAGAGTATAGCATCTATAAAGACAGTCTTCATGCTTTCAATGTGGAACTAGCCACAGCTAGACAGACCTTCTTCTCAAACCTTATAAACAGCAACTTAAACACCACTCATATACAAACAACAATAGCAAAATTTTGGAAGAAATAGTACATCACCTGCTATATTGACATATTCCCCACATCTTTTTTTTTCTTCAAAACTGTGTTTAACTGTTTAGAAGCAGATCTCTTAGAATTTTCTCCCTGAAAACTGCAGTTGTTAAGCCCCTCCTGAAAAAGAGCAGTCTTGATAACACCGTATTGAGCAACTACAGCCCGATATCAAATATTCCATTTTTTTATAGGCAAGATTATTGAAAAGGTAGTTTTTAATCAGCTTAAACTAAATTGGATACCTGGACACTTTTCAATCTGGTTTCCAACAGCATCACAGCACAGAGACAGCGCTCATTAAGATAATAAATGATATTCGCTTAAATTCTGATTCTGGCCTCTATCCCTTTTTCTTAGTGGATGTCTTCATCTTATAAAATGTATTATTATTAAATCATAATCTTAAGAGTGTAAATAAGATCTTTCAAAATTAATATATTGTTTAGACGAGATCTCAAAATAATTAAATTAAACATTTTACTTATTTGCGTAACCTAAATTGTATTTTTTTTATTCAACATCATATGTTCAAAACATAGTTTATCATTTTAAAATAATTTTGTACTTAGTTTAGTTTATTTCAAAACATATTCCTGCTTAAAAGGCTAAATAAAAAGTGTCCATATTTTAAGAGTATTCCTAGGGTGAACCTGTGTTCAATATCTGACATCCTGTTGCTAATATCTAGTTCTGCACTTATTGTTCTATATCAGACTTTTTTGAACACTCTTTATCAATGTGATAAATATATGGGTGAAACATACCCTTAGCTGAAAATATACTCGGAAATATATGTAGACAAACCATATGTTGATGTAACATCTTGCCTGATGGTCACACAAACAGTATTTGAAGAGTGCATTTATGACTTTACCAGCTAGCCCTTTGCACATCCATAACATTCCAGTTCATTTAAAATGTTTGTTCAATCAACAACTTGTCGGACAAAAGGCTGGTACAGAGAAAATACATTATTTGGATACCCACTGACTTTTTGGAGTCGTAAACCGTGCTTGAATGAAAGAACACATGTGAGGGACTTCTGGGGTCACAGGGGCTCCTGAGAATATTTAACTGCACTTAAAAAGCACAGAGCAAGCTGACTGAAATAGCGTACACCACACCAGACTCCTGATGTCCTGCAGTAGAAAATACCTACAGTACGTTTAAAAAAAACCCTATATACTATCTTACATTTTAAGGTGGCTCGTGTTTCGTGTGTATATGATTGGGTGTTTATATATGATTTTACTTTTCTTATTTTTATAAAGATTCAATTTAAATTCAATTCCTAGTAAATATAAGTCCAAACTTTATATTACAAAATAAATCATGTTGACAAATGTGGTTGCAATGTTTTTAAAATGTGATTATTTAAAAAATAATCCAAACAGATCCACACACACACACACACACACACACACACACACACAATGATGTCATTCAGGAAGGTCAACAGTTCAGATTGGCATATGTAAGTTAGTTTTCAAACTTTTTCCCAAAATCAAGTATTGTATTGTACATATGTATTACTAATTTTAAAGCATAAACTTGCTTTGAGGCTTGAATAAAAGGTTACCAAATGTAGTTTCATATCCAAGCTGACTGAAATAGCGTACACCACACCAGACTCCTGATGTCCTGCGGTAGAAAATACCTACAGTACGTTTAAAAAAAACCCTATATACTATCTTACATTTTAAGGTGGCTCGTGTTTCGTGTGTATATGATTGGGTGTTTGTATATGATTTTACTTTTCTTATTTTTATAAAGATTCAATTTAAATTCAATTCCTAGTAAATATAAGTCCAAACTTTATATTACAAAATAAATCATGTTGACAAATGTGGTTGCAATGTTTTTAAAATGTGATTATTTAAAAAATAATCCAAACAGATCCACACACACACACACACACACACACACACACACACACACACACACACACACACACACACACACACACACACACACACACACACACACAATGATGTCATTCAGGAAGGTCAACAGTTCAGATTGGCATATGTAAGTTAGTTTTCAAACTTTTTCCCAAAATCAAGTATTGTATTGTACATATGTATTACTAATTTTAAAGCATAAACTTGCTTTGAGGCTTGAATAAAAGGTTACCAAATGTAGTTTCATATCCGTTGTGTTATAACAAAGTCATTCATCGGATCTCTTTGTTTTATAAGATTTACTTTAATACTTCTACGAAGGTTCACACTGCTTTTATAAGTCTGATAAATATGTGGTCAATACACGACAAGACGAGAATCAGGCTACAACATAAGTTTGACACAATGTTTTTAAGAAAGGGATTTTATTTATTTATTTTATTTATTTATTTTTAAATACAACTAAACCAGATAAAATATTATTCTTTCTTTTTGACAAACCTACATTTCAAATGATTTTTCCCCAAGGTGTTCATTATCCGAGTGGAACTGGCCTTTTTTGGGGGTCTAAATAATTCGGGGGTCTAGATGAAGCTTCTTAACCGTACAAAGAAAACATATTTTACATTCATTCATCATATTTTATTCAATATTTTTGCTCGTGTATCATGGTTTCATGCCTTTCTAATACTTTTTTCTAATGCATCAGAATGTGGATTTTTCAACATCCAACATGAAATTAAAGAGTTGTATCAGTCGAGCTTGTTTCAGCTGTTTTTAACCATTTTCTTAGGTTATTATTTTTGACTTACATATAGAATAGATATATAATGAACCTTATCATCCATGGTTTCCCCTACAGACCCCAAAGATAATATCCAAACAAGATCTATGGGGGTACAGTTGTAAATTCAGGACACCTCAGAAAGTATTTACATCATATAAGATAACCATATCACATAAAGAATACAGAAAAACCTCTCTTAATCTACTGTGACTGACATTTTACTATGTCAGATGATCAGGATTACGGATGACACTGTACACATTTTGTTTGTTGGACTTTATATGCCTTTATGTGAGGCCTTCTTTCTGAGATCCTTCAGCATTCAATGTTCATAGAAATAAATTCAGAAAATTACTGTCTACTTGAGAGTGTTTGACTAAATTGGTATTACTTTTTGGACAATTATCCATCTCCATATAAATACGATGAACCGTCAACACAAAAAGTAAGGCTTGCTGATTTACACATAGAACTATTACAACTGGAACATATCTCACCATTGAGCTCAAAGCTACACATTCAGTAAAGTTTGAGGTTGTTAAAAGTGCCACGCTCTTGAAAAGGCTACAGCCACAAAATATAAAGGAATTTTGTGAGAGCAAAAATATATTTTTTGTAAACGTTGTTTTAAATTACTTTTTTTCTTACACCACTACATCTAGACCTCTTGTTCAGATAGCTGATGACCAGGGGCGGATTTAGTGAATTGAGGGCCCCAGGCAAAATATAGGAATGGGGCCCTATACCTTTGCACACATTTTCCTAGATCAACCTTGAGGTTCCATTTAGTTGTTTTCAGCGTAAGCCTGTGTGCAAAGGCTGTCTAATTCTAAACTTTAAAATACATTTATTTTTAGTTGTTTTAATTACAAATTTAAATAAAACTGAAAAAATAATGAAAAGGCAATTATACATTTACACACCTAAAATACATATATCAAGAGCATGCTCACAGATGAGAACAAAACAGCGTTGGATGAAGTGGATTAGAGCCCTGCACGGGTCTCAAATATAGGCCCTAGTCCGTCTTTTTCCCCAAAAAAGCTTATACTACTGTTTCAGCTATTAAAATAGTTCAATTTTGGATGTAATGGAAAAGTGATTATATTTCGTTTTGTTTTTTTATAAAGTAAATTTAGAAAAACGTTTGGAGTATTTTTGTTCGTTAAATGTAAGTTTTTATTTTTTTATTTTTTTAAGTAACAGCCAGCAGCAGACAGTGAATTGATCATAGCCAATAGCCTATGTCTGATCAATTTAGCCTTCTCAAATCATCAGGATTGCCTAAAATAAAATCTATATAAAAAACAGTTCAAGTATATCACAGTGTTAGTTTCAATGTTTAACCTATATAAATGTGCGCTGTTAGACGCATATCCAATAGTTTGCCCAGAGAGTGGAAGCTGAAACGCGCTCTGCAGGACATGGAGACACCAGCGCGATCACTTGCATTTTTTTCTAACAGTGGAAACGGCTTGAAATAGCCTACACAGTCATTTTTGCTCATAAAGGTAAGAGTAATTCATCATTCTAAACTGTAAAGGGTCTAGTTTTATTTGTGTGCACTCACAATATCAACAAAACGTTGTCCTTTTATAAAATAAAGAAAGCAAACGCTTTCTGCCGTCTCGGTCTTGAACAGGAGTGCTTCACAATGATGAACCTAAACTCAGACATGATCAAAATATATAGAAAGCCTTAAATTAGTACTTTAAAATGAAATCATTCAAATCGAAAATAGACTCCTAATAAAATAAACTCTTTCATTATGTAATCCATGCATTTCTCTCTAAAGGCACATCCAATTAGGAGATGGCGAGTCATTTTTTCATCACTATAATTGATGGAAGGCCCGATTATAATTTGTGTTTTATTTTATAATTCCGTACAGTTAAAAAATAAAAGACTAATTATAATGGCATATATGTAAAACTTTGTCCTATAATTGTATAGCTGCTTTTTCAGATTTTTATGTTGCTCTGTTCTGAATACCTTAAAATTTTGAGGATTTGCTGAAACGCAATTTTGTATGATATGTTAATTATTTATATTTTTTATCAATGCTGCAAATGCTTTAAAAAACAGCTTTAAAATTACTTTATTGCATTCCAGACGCTTTTAAAGTACTTTTCACTATAAATTTTACGGGTAGCTTGAATGTAAACATTTTCATGAATTCGTTGTATTCCCATTTGTAAAACAAATTAATTGTTGTAGTCTAACCCGATCTCATGAAAGTACATATAGCACGATTTTCTGCTTCTATTTGGCATATTATTTCTATGCAGAAATTGACTTTGGCATGCAAAAGACTGATAAATCCATAATTAACGGCATGGGTTCAGTCGACAGAAATACATGAGACACAGGCCTATAATAACTGCTGAAATATTTGCGGGGCAGATCTCAGGTCAGTCTGAGCGCTCATGGCACTTGCAGTGCGTACACCTGCAGGCGCCACAGACTCTGACGGTTGTCGTGGTAATAAACACCGTAAACAGCAACCGTTTGCATGTCTGCGCTTAATTCGCATATCATATATGAAAAGCATTTTAGGGGGCCCTTGGCTTTTGGGGGCCCAAGGCGGTCGCCTACCTTTGCCTAATGGGTAAGTCTGCCTCTGCTGATGACGATGTTCAAATGTATTTATTTGTTGTACTCTCTGCAAAGGCAGCATGCGGTTCAGTTAGCAAACTGCCCCACCTCATCTGCCAAAAAACACGGTTGTGGCTAGAAGGAATAGAGCAAAAACCGGACGCTCACAATAAATAGCTTTTTCTACCTGTTCAATCAGGTTTTATTAACGTCTACACCTACCCCGTACAATAATGGCAAAAAAGTTATAACTGTTGTACAGTCTGAGAAAAATTACACTAGATTGATGTGCGCATAACCTGTAGTTTTTGCAGTATCCCTGCTAGCCTTAACCAACAAACACTCTTAAGCTGTCTAGTGCCTTGCCCGCGAGTCTCTGGCCTCTTCTCTGGATGCTTTGATCCTCTGATTCGCACTCCCAGAAAAAAACACTTGTAGCTGGCGCCGTGGCTTAATTGGTTAAAGTGCCTGTTTAGTAAACAGGAGATCCTGGGTTCGAATCCCAGTGGTGCCTTTTGAGAGATCACGTGCACCTCCTAGGCAAGGCCAGCTTTTGATCGAGCGCAAGGCCAGTAGGCTGTTTCATTTGCAAACAACCCCTCAGCTTCTGCCGAAAAATGATGGCCTGGACCAGGGGCAGGCAAGTTCTGTCCTAGAGAGTCGTAGTCCAAAAGCATGCTTTTCTGAGATCGGACTCTGAACAGGGGTAGCAAGGAGTGCAAAGGTAGCAGGCGGTTCCATTAACAAACTGCCCCACCTCATGCATACACCTACCCTGTACAATATTACAAAAAAGTAATTATTGTTGTACAGTCTAAGAAAAATTACTCTAAATTGATGTGTGCATAACCAGTAGTTTTTGTTGTATCCCTGCTAGCCTTAACCAACAAACACTCTTAAGCTGTCCAGTTCCTTGCCCGCGAGTCTCTGGCCTCGTTCAACTGGTGGATTGTCTCCTTGGGCTATTTCTGACCCTAATGATCCCTCTGCTTTTCGAGCCACACTTAAATCGTGCAGAGGCCCGAGGACCTTTCCGTCCTGCCCACAGAGGCATTGGTCAGGCACAGGGGTAGCGAGGAGTGCAAAGGCAGCAGGCGGTTCCATTAACAAACTGCCCCACGTCATCTGCAGAAAAACACGGTTGTGGCTAGAAGGGATAGAGCAAAAACCGGAAGCTCACAATAAATTGCTTTTTCTACATGTTCAATTGTGTTTTATTAACGTCTACACCTACCCCGTACAATAATGGCAAAAAAGTAATTATTGTTGTACAGTCTAAGAAAAATTTATCTAAATTGATGTGCGCCTAACCAGTAGTTTTTGCTGTATCCCTGCTAGTCTTAACCAACAAACACTCTTAAGCTGTCCAGTTCCTTGCCCGCGAGTCTCTGGCCTCTTCTCTGGATGCTTTGATCCTCTGACTTGCCCTACCAGTAAACACACTTGTAGCTGGCGCCGTGGCTTAGTTGGTTAAAGTGCCTGTTTAGTAAACAGGAGATCCTGGGTTCGAATCCCAGCGGTGCCTTTTGAGAGATCACGTGCACCTCCTAGGCAAGGCCAGCTTTTGATCGAGTGTAAGGGAACTCAGGCTGTTCGTGGTATTTTTTCCATTGAAAAGTGTAGCCATTGGACAAATAGTTGGTGCGAGGGCTCGTGCGCACTTTGTGGACGACACGAGTCACTTATTCTAATGGTGATGTGGACGTTTTACAAAAAAGCGGGTAATGCCAGCAAATAGGCCATAGGCTCTGTACGGACGCCTCCGGGGGCGCCCTCGAGGTGCGTGGTCACGCACACATGTCTTCCTCAGTGCCACGGAGCGCCTATTTTGACCCCTAACCACCTAAACTTCGTCATAGTCTTCCTCAGTGCCACGGAGCGCCTATTTTGACCCCTAACCACCTAAACTTCGTCATAGTCTTCCTCAGAGCCGCGGAGTGCCTATTTTGACCACTAACCACCTAAATGACCACGGGAAGCCTATTTTGACCGCCAACCACCTAAATGACCACGGGAAGCCTATTTTGACCGCCAACCACCTAAATGACCGGAGTTCCCGTCACGTCACGATCCCCCGGGACAGTGCCCGGAGTTCTGTGTTCGTATCTCCCTCGATCGGCCGAAAAAAGACCCCCTTGACCGCGAACCACCTGTAGAGTTTCCATTGAATAAGTTGCGGGTGGGACGTTAGGAACGCAGGGTTCACGAAGGTCGCAGGGCCCCAAGATTCATCACGGGGGACCATCAGGGCCGCCCCAATCGGGTCCCGGAGTTTCGTGGCCCTAGACGCTTCCCGAGCCAATCGGGCACTGAGAAAGTAGCTGCTGCACAGGCCCTTTCCCAAACAGAGGCCTATGAGAGACAGAGAGTTGTACGGAGAGCAAAGAAAAATATTTCTGGGCATCTCCCGACCTAGCCCTCTCGGTATGTCGTCGGGGGCCGAGCGATGCAACTTCTCGTGAAACTCGAGGCCCCTCGGACCTCCGGGGGCCGCTGACACGTGCAAATTATCCCAATTCCCAACATCAGCAAGTGACACCTGTAACTTACTTGACGGTACCTACATATGCTTTTCGTGGACAGACCTTTTTTGAGGTAAATATGAATATTGATGAGTTCTAATGTATATGAACTTGTCAGACGGTGTCTCCAGAGTGCAGCACTGTACGTTTTTTATAATAAAATGAAAAAAAATTTAAATTATGACTCGTTAATGCATTGTACACGGAAAGCCTGTGGAGGCCCCGTCAAATAAGTTACAGGTGGGCAAGTGACAAGTAACAGCTGTAACTTATTTGACGGGGCCTCCACTGACACGTGCAAATTATCCCATTGTGATTGTACCCGTCAAATAAGTTGCACGTGGGCACTTTCAGCGATTTTGCCGAGTCATGCAGGATGTGCCCAAGTGCAACTTATTTGTTAAATAAGAAACATAATAAAATGATTATGAACTTAAATTATGACTTGTTAATGTACAGTCCACCGATTCCCAACATCAGCAAGTGACACCTGTAACTTACTTGACGGTACCTACATATGCTTTTCGTGGACAGACCTTTTTTGAGGTAAATATGAATATTGATGAGTTCTAATGTATATGAACTTGTCAGACGGTGTCTCCAGAGTGCAGCACTGTACGTTTTTTATAATAAAATGAAAAAAAATTTAAATTATGACTCGTTAATGCATTGTACACGGAAAGCCTGTGGAGGCCCCGTCAAATAAGTTACGGGTGGGCAAGTGACAGCTGTAACTTATTTGACGGGGCCTCCATGCCCCTTCAAATAAGTTACGGGTGGGCATGCAGTGGTGAAACTCACCAAAATCCAACTCCAATTCCCAACATCTGCAAGTGACACCAGTAACTTACTTGAAGGTACCTAAATAGGCTTTCCATGGACAGACCTGTTTTGAGGTAAATATGAATATTGATGAGTTCTAATGTATATGAACTTGTCAGATGGTTTATCCAGAGTGTAGCACTGTACGTTTTGCATAATAAAATGATTAAAAACTTAAATTATGACTCGTTAATGCATTGTCCACGGAAAGCCTGTGGAGGCCCCGTCAAATAAGTTACGGGTGGGCAAGTGACAAGTGACAGCTGTAACTTATTTGACCGGGCCTCCACAGGTTTTCTGTGGATAGTGCGTTTTTATGCAAATTAAGCCATTTCACGTCACGGGTGGGCATGTAATTCACCAAAATTCAACTCCAATTCCCAACATCAGCAAGTGACACCTGTAACTTTCTTGATGGTACCTACATAGGCTTTCCGTGGACATACCTTTTTTAAGGTAATTATGAATATTATATTATTATATTATAACATAATAAAATTATTATAATGGCCAAAAGGACTAAAAGGCTTTTCATTGTAAAATAGGTGGTCAGGGGGACAAATAGGCAGTTCATGGTCAAAAATTTGCTAAGGGGGTCTAATAGGCTTTCCGTGGTCAAATAGGTGGTAACGGGGACTAATAGGCATTCCGTGTTCACATAGGTGGTCAGGGGGACAAATAGGCAGTTCATGGTCAAAAATTTGCTAAGGGGGTCTAATAGGCTTTCCGTGGTCAAATAGGTGGTAACGGGGACTAATAGGCATTCCGTGTTCACATAGGTGGTCAGGGGATGAATAGGCTTTTCGTGGTCACATAGGGGGTAAGGGGGATGAATAAGCTGTCCGTGGCTAGGAGCCTGCCAGCTTGTGGCCGATTGACAGATTGCAACAAAATGCACTAAAACGGAGGGCCGTTCCGCAGGGCCCCTGGGGGCCCCAGGGTCTAGCCGACGCCTTCGGTGTGTGCCGCCGGGCCTCCCCTTGGCACCCGGGCAGTCGTCGGGGGTGGGAAAAATCACCTAGGGGGCGTAACGCAGCATCCCACGGACAGCTTTCCCACCTACCACCTATTAAGCGCTACGTGGTTTGATGCCCTAACCTGCCGCTTCTCCTGTCTCCCCAGTCCCTGGTCCTTCACCCCCTGCTGCTGCACCCACAGGTGTGTGAAGGCAATAGTACAAACAATATTTGAACAGGTTACGTGCAGAAAACATCAGTACAATATCCACTCATAGCTTTAACATTCACATAAAGGCAAAACAATTTGTGAATTAGTCCCTTTACTAATAATCATTGTATTTGTAAATGCAGACTCAATTCTATTGCAATGTATGCCACCAATCATCTGCATACATACTTTTTAACTATGTTCATTTACATGTTTATCTTCCTGATGTTTATATGTCTGAAGTATAACTTTTAATTATGTAAAATATGTTAAAGCAAGTTCAAAACAATTTCACACTTGTATTTAAGCACTGGCTATGTATGTCACTCACTCCCAATATCTGGACAATTTTGTTATTTCAATTATCATCTTTCTGTCTTATTGCACTGTGTGTTGTATTTTTGATTTCACAGGCCAACAGAGGAGGAGAGGCACCCGGCGTCCCCGTGATGGTCCGTCGGAGGTGGAGCAGACGCTGCTCGAGCTCCTGAGGCGTCTTCCAGCCCCACCACCACCACCACAGTCTGCTGATGAGCACTTCCTCCTCAGCCTTCTGCCTTTTCTGCAGAGCATGCCGCCTCATACAAAAGAAATTATAAAATGTACAAATTGGCCATGGAAAACAGCACCGTTGTGCTAAATTTGGAACAATCGGACCCCCACAGCCCACAGTAGGCTTTAAAAAAAATGAGGCAGCAGGCTCTGCAGGAAACTCAGAATGCCCTCCTTCCTCTTCTCCTACATTTTGTTCCCTGAGGCTACTATTGTTACAAACGTGTTGTATTAACATATAGTATTGCCTTGACAGAGCCTACAGATAATGAAGAGACTGATCCTAGATCCCCTGCCGCTTCTCCTGTCTCCCCAGTCCCTGGTCCTTCACCCCCTGCTGCTGCACCCACAGGTGTGTGAAGGCAATAGTACAAACAATATTTGAACATGTTACGTGCAGAAAACATCAGTACAGTATCCACTCATAGCTTTAACATTCACATAAAGGCAAAACAATTTGTGAATTAGTCCCTTTACTAATAATCATTGTATTTGTAAATGCAGACTCAATTCTATTGCAATGTATGCCACCAATCATCTGCATACATACTTTTTAACTATGTTCATTTACATGTTTATCTTCCTGATGTTTATATGTCTGAAGTATAACTTTAATTATGTAAAATATGTTAAAGCAAGTTCAAAACAATTTCACACTTGTATTTAAGCACTGGCTATGTATGTCACTCACTCCCAATATCTGGACAATTTTGTTATTTCAATTATCATCTTTCTGTCTTATTGCACTGTGTGTTGTATTTTTGATTTCACAGGCCAACAGAGGAGGAGAGGCACCCGGCGTCCCCGTGATGGTCCGTCGGAGGTGGAGCAGACGCTGCTCGAGCTCCTGAGGCGTCCTCCAGCCCCACCACCACCACAGTCTGCTGATGAGCACTTCCTCCTCAGCCTTCTGCCTTTTCTGCAGAGCATGCCGCCTCATACAAAAGAAATTATAAAATTTTAAATGTACAAATTGGCGATGGAAAACAGCACCGCTGTGCTAAATTTGGAACAATCGGACCCCCACAGCCCACAGTAGGCTTTAAAAAAAATGAGGCAGCAGGCTCTGCAGGAAACTCAGAATGCCCTCCTTCCTCTTCTCCTACATTTTGTTCCCTGAGGCTCTTCCACGTTCCAAGCGAGGTCCTTTTTATTTCTGTCTCTGTATGTAAATAGTTTGTACATGTTGTATTTTTTTAAGTTTATATTCAAATTATTTTATGTTTGGCCTGAATGAATTATTTTGAAATATGACTAAATGCCTGGTGTGGTTCTAATGCATAACAAAGCAAGTGTTTTATCACATAAAAACTTGATTTCAATATATGACACATATTCATTTTGTATTGAATGCTATTTATTCCATATCTAAATCTTGATTATATGAAACATGTATTATAATGTAAAGACAACCAATATACTTTAGTGTGTCTGGACAGTGTTGTGTGAGGAAAACAAAGAAATCACAGGACAGGTTAATTACTTCTGGAGGCTGGCTCCATTCATCATCAAAACAAAAATAAATGCCAGATTATTTTACAGTAATAACCTGAACAAAGAAACGGCACAGACCTATAGAATTATTATACATCAAACAAGGAATGACCTTGTTCAGCAAATACAAAGCGAAGCGATAACTCTCTCGATCAACATCAGCCATCTTGCAAACAGACAACCGCCTAGCACTTGCCCCTCCCACAAGAAGCGGATTTCGCCTCGGACGCGTGTCAATTTCGCTTCAAACGCTTGTTTTTTACGTGCGTCTATTTCGCTCTAGACGCGCGAATGCATTCAAAATGTTCAAGCGGCAAACTAGATGCGGTAGACGCGAATTTGACGCTCTATTCGCGTTTGGTGTAAACGCAGCATTAGCCGATGAAATCATCGCATTCATGAAATATGACCTATTAACGCATTGTCCACCGAAAGTTGATGAGTTGTAATGTATATGAAATTGTCAGACAGTGTTTCCCGAGTGTAGCACTGTAAGTTTTACATGATAAAATGATAATAAACTTAAATTATGACTTGCTGATGCATTGTCCACGGAAAGCCTGTGGAGGCCCCGTCAAATAAGTTACGGGTGGGCAATTGACAAGTGACGGCTGTAACTTATTTGACGGGGCCTCCACAGGCTTTCCGTGGACGGTGCATTTTTTATGCAAATTAAGCCATTTCACGAGATCCGACATACATGAATCTGCTGGACGGTGTTTCCTGAGCACTGTAAAGCTGGTATTACTAGATAAAATCATCGTATTTATGACATATGACCTATTAACTCATTGTCCACGTAAAGCCTGTCGAGGCCCCTTCAAATAAGTTACGGGTGGGCATGCAGTGGTGAAACTCACCAAAATCCAACTCCAATTCCCAACATCAGCAAGTGACACCTGTAACTTACTTGACGATACCTAAATAGGCTTTCCGTGGACAGACCTTTTTTGAGGTAAGTATGAAAATTGATGAGTTCTAATGTATATGAACTTGTCAGACGGTGTCTCCAGAGTGTAGCACTGTACGTTTTGCATAATAAAATGATTAAAAACTTAAATTATGACTCGTTAATGCATTGTCCACGGAACGCCTGTGGAGGCCCAGTCAAATAAGTTATGGGTGGGCAATTGACAAGTGACAGCTGTAACTTTTTTGACGGGGCCTCCACAGGCTTTCCGTGGATGGTGTATTTTTATGCAAATTAAGCCATTTGTCACGAATCCGGTCCACGAACTTTCCTATTCATTGACTCTCGCACTACACACTGTTGCACATCACCCCGGACTACATTTCCCATTATGCATTGCACTGATTGCACTCAGCACGAATTGCACACACCTGTTTACACTGATTGCACCCAGCTGTTTCATATCACTCCCTCACTATTTAACACTCACTCTGATCCCTTCCCGCTGCCGAGTATTGTTTCAGCGTTTATCACTCTCCTAGAGATAGCTACCTTACGGAGCCCTTGTCATTGCCTTAGCCCTAGTCATTTGCCTTAGCCTTAGCCCTTGTCATTTTCCTTAGCCTTAGCCTTAGCCTTAGCCCTAGTCATTTGCCTTAGCCTTAGCCCTTGTCATTTGCCTTAGCC